CAAATTGCACTATCGCTTCAAGCAGGAGGAAGAGATTGGTCGTGTCATGCACCTTGTGTCTGAACTTGTTTGTGACTTTTTCATCAAGGTGCTTCCCAAGTGGGTTCTTGACCACTCGATCTTGTGGGAAGAGTTTATGATTTTGGATCCAGACACAAATCTCCCAGCCTACAAGACTTCAGAGGCCGCCTTACAAGCAGAAGTGAATCCAGAGAAGTATCATACACATTTTGCTATGAACTTCAAGAAATTCAGGTTTTCTGCAAGAGTGGTGTAGTATTTGGTTGACCGTGACAGGAATCATTTAGAGAGGTTTCTTCGCAACTCCAACAGCAGATTTGTGCAACATGCATGCTATCAACTTCGTGAATATGTTCAAGCGCGTGTTGCAGTTTCTGATCCCTTGTATGAGATGATCAAGAAGGAAGAGTTTGAACGCCAATACAATTCCAAGTTTTTGGAGGCGATTTCTTGCTCTCGTGTTGTAGTTGAGCCTGTAAGTTCAGGGACGTATGAGCCATCATCGAAGCTGAACTTAAAGGTATTACAAAACATTCTGAAGGGTGTCTACAAGATCCAGAAGAATGAGGAGCTTGCCAGAGAACGTGAGGAAGAAGAAGAACAGGCAGCTCAAAACATCTCAAACTTGTTAGCAGATGATATGGAGCTTGATTTTGATGATGACGACGTACCAGTATGGCGCTCCATTGTCAACAAGTATAGAGAAGGTGATCAGGTGCTACAAAGAGCAGTGAAGATTACTCATCTTTTCAAGGACAAAAAGGACAATGAGAAGGCAACAGAAGTTTTCAATTCAGAGAGGACAGATTTCCATGAGACCTCAGAACCTCTTCCAAGGACCATGGGAAAAAATCTTGTAGAGGACTTGTTCACCAAGAATGTCGCAGAACAAGCTTTTGAGGCAGGTGAAGAAGTTCCTCCTTACACAAGAGTCTCCACTATCGCTGGTGGAATCTACACTGGTAGTCTGATGTTGACGAAAGATGAAGATATGGAAGAGGAAGTTCCTGAAGAAGATCCTGCAGTTGAACCTGAGAAAGATGAAGAAATGTTTGATGAGAATGCAGGTACTTTTCCTTCAGAGGGACCAAAGATGGAAGTTGACCAGGAGGAAGCCAAGGAGGAGTCAACGCCACACTTTCTGTCAAGAGAGATAGGTGAGGACTCAGCTGCATCGTACTTACCATCAGGTGAGAAGGATGCTAACCTTGAGGATACTTCAGGTCAGCGGAAAGCTAAGAGAAGCCGCCTGAATAAGATTCCTGATCCTCATTTTCATGAAGAAGTTCAGGATGATGCAACTCTTGAGGAGAAGAAGAAGGCGGTGAAGAAGATAAGAGAGGTCAGAGAGGATGATGGAGAGAAGAAATTGGAGGCTGAAATCCAAGAGTCTTTTCCATCTGAAGTAGTTGTTGATAAAGATCCTGTGGATGCTGACAATACCTATGAGTTGCATACCTCACCTTTGAGGTTGCTTGGAGAGCTTACAGAAGTCCCAGGTATTGGCTTTTATCAACCATGCTTCAGGGAAACTCACGCAAGATTGCTGAACCATGTTTGTTTCAGAAAAGGTGAGATTTCCCATCCTCATTATCAGTCGAGGATCAACGAGGATGATTTTGTTCGATCCATTCGAAGTGTCTGTCCAGTACCTCCACCTGATTGTTACGAACACGACTCAGAGCATGATTTGAAGAGGTTTTTCATCAATGATGACCGCATCAGTCATTTGGATGGCAAGTATAAGGTCGATCCAAAGTCCTTTGAAAGGGCAGAGCATGCTCGAGAAGAATTGGAGGATACGAAGAAGGAACTTAAGAAGGAACTGGAATCATATGGTCCCAATGGACCCAGTTGGGATTTTGTCACCTTCTATGAAGAGCTGTGCAGAAGGTTCCTCAAGGGAAGAATAGAAGAACAATATGGAACCAACTTATCGGCCAGCTCAGAGTCCTTGACGTTTTTATCCTGGAACTATGGCAATATGGTTCGTGGTCAGAAGTACACCACACCAAGGTTTCTCCAAGGACTTGATAGTGCAATGAGGCCACGCAAACAGAGCGCCGTGTCACTTCAATACGAGCAATTTGAGAACAACCTTTTCTTCAATATGCTCTTCTTTTTACGTGCGCATGTCGTGATTCTCCAGGAAGCTCATCTCCTTGTTCCTGCCAAGGAATTCATTGAGCAAAAGAATTGGACAGTTTGTTTCAATGATTGGGAGAATCTTGCAGTGATGGCTAGATTGGCACCAGGTGGATATGTCAAGATCATTGCTGGACATGACCAAGACCTTGGTCATTGTGAACAGCGTGATGTAACTTGGGCTATCTACGAGATTTGTTTTGGAAAAACAAGGCCTCGTCAAGAATTCAAGGATGCAGACTTTGAATTTGATGACTATGGTCCTGAGGACCAGCGTGTTCCACTTACTAGAGCGAACATGCATACCATCAGAGTCTGTAATTATCATGTTGATACACACCGTGCTGTGGATGCCCACCTACTGACAGGAGAACAGACAGCATTGATGCTTTATGAGTGTTTTGTCTATGAGGTGGACATCATTTCTGGTGATGCAAATAGTTTAGCCTACAGAATGTCTGGGTACAAAAGGCAGCCAACGGCTAACTATTATTACAGCACCATGCAGCATTGGATCCGCAGGTTTTCAGAAGCCCGTGTAAAATCAGATCCTGGTATCAAAGCACCTATTCCCAGAACATTTTACAGTTCAACTTCACTTGTTCTAAAGCAGTGTGAAGATTACTTTGATAAACTCTGGGAAGATTACTCCACAGTAGAGAAAGAAGAATACCAGGGATCACAGCTTGGAGATACATGTTTGTCTACCATTGTTGAATGGGGTCATTCGATGAGTGAAGAGGAATATGAAAATTCCACAGTGAGCACGAAGGAGTTCATCTGTAATTTTTCAGAGAACTTTGCTATGATTGACACGGAGGTTATGTGCTCAAGGCCCACTGACGAGGACAGTCATGGTCCAATGTTTATTTCACTCAGACCAGCTTCCTCTTCATCTGGAGACAGAAGACAGTATCGCACGGGAGCAACTCTTCATGAGGCGAAACTGCGGAGGAAGGAGAGACAGAAAGAGAATAAAAGGAAAGGAAGGCCGCCAACTTCTGATCAAGCAGCTTCATCGACTGCAGCGGCATGAAACTCAGAGCGGAAGCTAACTTTTAATGATGGCTAGGAAGTGAAGATACTTCTGATCACAGTTGATACTTTGCTTCCAGGCTTGACTTTAAGTTGCCAGGCTGAAGTTTTAATGAACCCTGGTTTGCAACAAGGAGAAACTTTTTGTCAAAGAAGATACTCCTGCATTCCAGGTTTATACGCTTTAGCATGCAGATAAATACAGTTTACTAAACGGTTATTATCTGCAGGTAGGTATGGACAGTTTTTCAGAACTGATGATAACTACCACAGCCGCTCTTTTGAGGTGACCTCTAATGGACAACCATTCATGGTTGATGATTAAGTCATTTCATAAGTTTGCATTTGTAGTGCAAGTTTTGTACGTACATTTGCCGGTGTCTCCTTCCTTGTGTTTTTGATGTCGATGAGAGAAAGAGTCCTTTTGATGCAGTTCCATTTTTATTTAAGTCCTGTGTATGGAAGCGGCCGAGACCACTTTTAGAGAAGAACATTCCTCGGACCGAGAGTTGACGCTCCTTGCATTTTGCAAGGCATCTTAATTCATTGCAATTTGTGCGGTCTTGAATTTTTAGCTCTTCGTTACGCGAGTGTCGTTTACTGCTTTTACAGGTCTCTGTGTAAGAAAGCCGCTTTCCTTCGAATTTAAGTTTCTTTGAAGCTCTGGCTATTTAAGGGCTATTGAGCGCCGGTACACGGTATCTTCGCCGGTGAACAATACAGTCTCCAGCCGAGATACATTGTCTCTGACTTTGTATTTGAGGTGAGTCAGCTATTGCTCCCTCACTGTATTTAGTAAACCTAGAGATTACCTTTTCTAAAGTGTGAAACACACTGGAATTGGTAAGTACAGGGCACCGTGGTTTCCTTTTAAGCTTAATAGAGCTTGCTGGACTGTTTTAGCCTTGCGGTAGAAAATAGTATGCGACATACGCAAATAGGCAGGAGTGGACATGAATTTTGTGCCCGCTGAAATGTAGAGGCCTACTTGTACAGGTTCCACTCCAGTGGCCTATCTAGTGTGTCCATGCTTGACTGCCATAAGGCTCAAGAGATATAGGATAAGACTCTGCGTGAGCAAAAGACACTAGCGGTCTGCACCTCTACCGTGTACGCCCTAGTCACTCTTTCACCCCCCGCCCCCTTGGAATTGATTTTTCAATACAGACCCCCCCCTCTAAATTCAATTCTCTCCTGGAGAACGTCTTCGTGAGCCTCTCATGATTTCAGGATAGTTGAAGCCCTCTTGAACATTTAGAAAGAGTGCATATGAAATTCTAATCACGAAAGGTGTTCCCCGAGGGGATACATACCTAGAGTTTGTTTTGTGAAGCACGTCAATTCTCTCCTGGGGAGCGTCTTCGTGAGCCTCTTATGGTTTCAGGATAGTTCAAATCCTATGATGCTCCGATTCAATGCTCACCGATGATCCGATCCATGGGGCAAGTTTGTTTTCCTAAGAATCGTTTTGAGCATTTCCAGAGCATATGTTTGAACAATTAGAGTGCATATGAACATATATTTACGATTTACGAAAGGTCGCCTCCGAGGGGATAAATCACCATGTCGAACATTGCATTTTTGTTCCTGCTTCTCGCGTTCTCTTCTCTTCCCGCTGTCCTACCTTTCGTGTCCCTCCTCTCAAGTCTGGTGTATCTGTATTTGCTAGACCCCGAGACATCGTTCTGGATCCTATGAGCACACCCAATTTCCATGTGCTCCTTTTGCGTTTCTCTCCTGCGTTTGAGACCGAGAAGATAAACCCTGCCGCGCTGCTTGCTGAGCCTGCGTGTTCCAAGGCACTTTGGCCGGAGCGATGTTCACCATCATCCTAGCCACGCCTGCCTTTGCAGTGCTGCTTCCTCCCTTGCTATGGATCTACATGAGGTGGGTTCTCCAAGCGGCGACATTCTCGATGGTGGTGGAAAACAGGTGCATGCATCGAATGCTTGGTAATTCCTTTTTCCCAGAGCGACTCGCCCCCCTCAAAAGCTGCTCACAGGCGGGGTTCCCAAATTCCGATTGTAGCTTTAAGAGAGTTTTCAATCAGCTTCAAGCAGAGGTGAATGGCAAGTGATTCTGATCTTCCCCTTCAGTTGGCGCCAATTTGGGTGGTGGGATCGTGGAAACTTTCAGAGAATCACAAAATATCTGCTCCAAAGCATGCCGAATCAATCCAACGAGCCTTGCCACGACTGCTTGTTTTTTTCTCGTGAGACCTCATGGGTTCTGTCAACGCAGATGCCACAGACTTGGTTGAGCAGAACTGGGCCACCCACATTTGGTAATCAATGAATCAATCCTCCAACAGCTAGGATGACAAAAAGTTTTCACATTCATGGCCAACCCTTTGGCAAAGGAAGAGAAGCATCATCTGCATCAAATTCCTTCTTTGCGTCCCGCAATGACTCAATCGCTGCACCGCTTGGCACGACCGCCCGTTTAAGGTCCCTCCAATACTACCGCCCCGTGGCCCGCGAGCTCAAGCGCCTAGAGCCCCTGGCGCGCTCGCCGGTCTACGCGGAGCAGTCGGCGGCCGCCAGCGGGGTCACCACCATCCGCCAGCTGGGCCTGGGGAACGTCATGGCGGTGCTCTGAAGCAAAGGGGTGCAGAGGGGGTTATGGTGAATGGGCCTTTTAGGCGCATGCATGGGTATTGGAGGGCACTGATTGCTTGAGGAAAATGGACCAAACTCTGTTTGTCATGTTTGTCTTGTTTTCGGGTCCAGCATAGGTTCGGTGCAGAAGATTGCAGGTTCGGCCTGGTTCCGCGGCGTTTTTGGCGGGTGGCACCAACAAGTTCCTTTTCTCTTGCCTTTTTGCCGCTGTTTTAACCTCAACAACAGCTCTTCCGTGGCGGTCACCGGGTGAGGCCAGGGCGCTTCACGCCATCGATGGCAACACTGCAGTGTCGTTCGCGGCGAAAGCCGTGGATCGATGGTTCTCGCTGTGCCGCGGCGGATCTCGGGAGCCAGCGGGGGGGTTGGAGGTTTACCTTTTGGACCTGACAAGTCTAGCAGGTCTAGCGACAAGTTGGAGATGCAACATCCAAACCTTGAAGGAGAACGGTGGGACCTATAGGAAAATCCCTGAAACGGCAAAAACTTGGACAGAGCCTCCGTTCTTTCTCATCCTGCGTCTCAGGCGGATGGAGCTCCTGGGGAACCTCATCGTCTTAGCCTCTGCGCTCGTCTGCCTGGCCGCGAGCGGCAGCGGTGCCTGGTCCGAGGCGCGCTCGGCCATTGCGGTGACACAGGCGCTCTCGGTGTGCGGGCTGCTGAATTGGACGGTGCGCACGATCGCGTGCCAAAGCTGCACAGGGTGTGTGAATTTGAGGGAGACGGCAGAGACCCTTTCTCCTTTTTAGGCTGAAGTGGCTTTTTGACCAGTGTGTCAAACTGGAGGACTTCCTATTTTTCCTCACCCACTACTGTAACTGGAGGGTAGGGGTTGGGATGATGGGGATGAAGGAGGATTCTCTTGATGATGACAGGGAGGGAAGGATCACATGCCTGCTGGAATGATGTAGTGCAGCTGGGATGCTGATCCAGGCTGGCTTTGATTGTGTAGGATTCTGGCCGTGGATTTTGCTCTTAGGATTCAACCTCTTGTTCCCTTATGCTTTATTTTGGTTTTATAAGAAATGCACTGGAGAAATACACCAAAATAAATAGTGGTACTCATTTTTCCTTTGTAGTAGCCGATGGTTCTCTCCATGTTCTCTTGACTTTGGAGCTTGGTCTCTAAGGCAGACAGAGACCAGCTTCACCTCTTGGCAGCGGGTGGCGGATTCTTTGGAAAGTACCGAGCTGGAAGGCCAGCGGAGCTTGCCGGAGGACGCCCATTTGCCAGCCAAGTGGCCCGTGAGCGGAACGATCTCCTTTGAGGCGAAGGGCGTGGAACATGTGGCGAAAGGGTGAAGGTCTGGTTGGTCTGGTTTCAGGTCCACATTCCACGAAGCAGCCGGGGATGTTTTTCATGGACGAACCTTGGTTCGCTGACCACCGGGATGTTTTTCCTGTTCTCGTGACAGTTAGAGTCTAGAGTAGATTGGGCCCTGTTACTTCAGATGTCAGATGATCAGGATGACTGCATGACATTATATCATCATAGGTTCAAACTAAAGCGGAAAGCTTGGCTGAAAGCATGCTTATATATCTGAAAGTATGCAGATCGACCTTGCCTGGTGCAAGGGAGTCTCCTTCCGCTATCGAGAGAACCTTCCCTTGGTCCTGCGGAAGCTGCACTTAGAGCTCACTCCTGGGCAGCGCGTGGGCGTGGTGGGCCGCACCGGCAGTGGGAAATCAACACTGCTGAGGCAATTCGAGTCCGTTGAATGGTCTCATCAGCTGTTAAGAAGATTTGGTGCACAGAATGTCGTGCACAACCTGAAAGGCCAGTCTTGTATGTAGCACTATGTAAGCTCTCAAATTCAGGTGACATTTCCAAGACAACTTCTCAAGCAAAGTTCCCAGGATCCTACTTCGAACGGTGGAGCCCACCGAGGGCACCGTCACCATCGACGGGGTGAACATCCAGCAAGTGGGCCTTGCACGGCTCAGATCCTCTGTCACGGCCATTCCGCAGGCGCGGATGGGGCACCGAGCCGAGCGCGCTTCGGCGGGCGATGCGGACGATGCGACGCGGCGTGGGTGCGACAAGTGGAAAAGCCCGGTCGGCTGATGCGGTCAGCCTCCGGCGACTCTGCATTTCTTCCATTTTGTCACCGGTTTGGCCAGCACCTCCCCCACACCTGCATGCCAACCAGAGCACCCAGCCGCAGCCGAGTGGTCCCCTTCAGACATCCCATCAGGACAACTTCCTGGTGAGTGGCTCCATTCGTGAGAACGTGGATCCACGCAATGACTACAGCGACGAGGAGGTGCAGCACGCTTTGGAGGCAGCGAGCCTTCAAGGTTGGAACCTCCATCGACACATCAATGCGGCCCGTGTCTTGTCCAAAACACGGCTGAGCCATGTCAGTGGGATGGAGAGTTGAGCTTAGAGCAAGGGTTGAATAAGGCTTGGTTGGCTTCTTGGCGGGCTGAGGGGCGGATGATCGCAGTGAACAAGGGCTGCCTCTTGAGTTTGCCTCGAAAGTGTGAGGAACAAACCACTCACATAACTTAGATGAACTCGGTTTCAATCAGGGACGAACCAGTTGTATTTTCCGACAGCTCCCTATGAATCCATCCTATGAATCCATCCTCACAGGTATTTGTTCACTTATATATACATATATACACCCTTTACATATGTACAGATTGAACTAACATGGTAGAAATCGCTCGGAACTCGAGAAATGCACAACTCTCGCACCGAACTCTTGAACTACGACGGCCCCGCCGCTTGAAGTTTCTTTCTCCTTCTCTTCGACTGAAAAGCCAGGGGACATCTCCCCGGGGGAGAAGCAGCTCATCGGTGTGGCACGGGCAGTGCTGCGGAAGAGCCGAGTGGTGGCGCTGGATGAGGTCACCAGCCGCGTGGACAAGGCCGCGCCTGGCTGAAAGTGTGGACCACGGGCGAGAAAGACCATGAAATACCAGGTGCGAGACCATGTTAGGTGGTTTTAGTGGTTTTGGTCCACACACAAAGAAGAAGAAGAAGAAGAAGAAGAAGAAGAAGAAGAAGAAGAAGAAGAAGAAGAAGAAGAAGAAG